TCTCCAAGTCTCGAGACAGTCTTTTTCGCGTCAGGAACTATATTGTCTCGAGACTTGGAAAGGCTACTCGTAGATCGGCAGTCCGTCCTAAACGTTGTGATCCGTGCAAACATGCCCCCCCCCTCCGCTCCCCCGACAACTTCTCGTTGATCAAGCTCTAGAGAAAATTTCGAAACAGATTCGGCAGCACCTTGGTATCTCGAAGAGGTGTTCGACGCCACAGACACGCCCAGAGACACCATTCCCCCGCGCACCGACAAAAAAAAACAGAGGGACGACCCACCGCGTGGAGCAAAACATTTCAACTTCAATTCACGCGCACCTCTGACACCACCCCCTCTTCTTCGACCAGCTTCGACTGCACCCTGCTGTAGATCACCGTCTCCTTCGGCTCCGGGTTCCGAATCAGCTTGTAGTTGCTCCATCGCACGGCTCCGCTGCTGGCGAAGTTGGGGCTGTTGAGGTTGATGACCACGGCCTGCCGAGCGGGGGCCTTGGTCTCCACGAGCGAATCCCAGAGGTCTATTCCGTCCAGCTCTGCTTCGCCATTGCCGCCGTCATCAGCGCCAGGCACACCGGCGAGTCCCAATATGGTGGCGTGCACGTCGGTAACGTGGGTGAGGTGGCCGTAACGGTAGGGCTCCACTCCCGTCCGTCTGAGCGCCGCGGAAACGAACCCTCCGGATACGAAAGCCGGCACGTGCACGCCTCCCTCCCAGTAGTCGCCCTTGCCGCCGCGGAAGGGCCGGTTGACGGACCCGTGGGACGGCAGCCCCCCGTTGTCCGAGAAGAAGATGACCACGGTGTTGTCCCACTCGCCCAGGTTTTCGAGCAGCCCCCGCAGGGCGCCCAAGCCGTTGTCCATCTGATGGGAGGAGCAGAGAGGTAAAAAAGAGGACAATGAGAGAGGGGTAGAGATCGAGAAAGAGAGAGAGCAGGCAGCGTTCGTCGTATCGGGGTTAGAGCTGGTCGGCAGGCGCGCGGGGGCGAGGTGATAGAAGAAGGATAAAAGTGTCCGAGGACGTCAACAGCCACCGTCTTACCAGCGAAACTACCGCTGGAAAACATGAACGAGCGGTGCTTCTTCTCCCACGGCAACAGCAGCTACATGTGCTACGGTAGCACGGGCCATTCGAGAACCACTGCTGCACACCGCTCTCGTGCCTAGTTTATGCTTGCAAGCAGAGTCTCTCACAACCGTTGAGGATGTTTTGAGCTCGAGGGTCAACGACGGGAGACACAAGAGAAAACGTCCGCCTCCTCTTGTCATACAGGGCGGAAGAGCGAAACAGAATCACCCACCTGAGCGACCATGCCGCACGCGATCCTGCGGTTGTCGTAGTCCGTCTCGTCAGTTTCGCCAATCGATGAGTTCTCCGCCGAGATTGACTCGCACGACCTTCCGTTGATCCAGCTGTCGTCAGTCTCGATGGGGTCGTGGATGGCCTGAGTGAGAGAGAGAGAGAGAGAGAGAGGGAAAGCGATAGGGCAAGAAATTTGTACACCAGGTCATGCTTGGTAGGAGGCGGGACGGCATGGCATCGCAACTGATGTTCGCGTTGCTGTGGAGAGAGGCTGTATCCACTTGGCTGGTAGCTGCAACAGCAAACATGAGGGAAAAATCGTGTGTCGTTACAAACACACCATCCGCAATATTCTGGCCCAGACAGACCACAAGGTGCCGAGTTTACCGAACAGATAAGGCATCATCCCAACTAGTCGGCGCTAGCTCGCCAACGCTCGAAATCTGTGATTTACAATGGTGTTACAGCAGTGTTGACCGCAACACCAAACAGACCCTACTTACGTTCAAGAGGCACTACAGAGCGCAGCAAAAATGCGTCAAACAAACTATAATTATTTAGGGCTGATTTCTGCTATCCTTCGTGGTTGCTCTTCGGTCCAGAAGCTGCCTCCTTGACGCCGCCATCAATGCCAACAGAATCAGAACGAAATCGGGTGGCGAAGCGCGGCCAAACCGTGCACACGTCGGTGTGCGGTGTGACCCTACCCTACCCTACTGCTGTAGACTAACAACCATCAGCCTAGCCGAGTGGTGACAGTGTTGGGGCCGCAAGAGACATGTTCATCACCCTTAGAGTGACCGGTAACGCACAGCACCACAGCATGAGCTCACGACGATTTCACCGATGCTGCTACGGCCGCTCCGTGTGCTGATGCAGCCATGGCATGGAAACCACTGCGAGGAATCAAATCAACCTCCCGTAGACCGCAGACAACGCGTCGACCTCAACAGCAGCAGTCTATTCGTCGGTTTCATGCTCGAAAGAGGCAGCGCCACAGCACAGCAGTGGTACAATACTCTGCAGGTGCGGCAAGAGCACTTTGTTCCTGCAAAACGTAGCGGCACACACGATGCTTTCGGCCTTTGCCTTGCATCTATGAAGCAACACGCTCCTCCTGTCACAGCAGTGCTCCCTCGTACGCGCCGCTCGAGTCTACCACCCGCTGTTGCTTTAGACTTCTGTGTGAGGTCGACCTCACAGCAGTCGCCGCAGTGCGCTCCGAGCTTTTCACCTGATACGATAGGTATAGGAACCACGGCTGGTCCTCCTTGGCCGACATCGCCTCCACGTACTCGGCCGCCTTTTTGGTGTAAAGCTCCGTGCTGTGCGTCCTGGTGTCCTGGTTGTCGTCCGACACCTCGCTCCCCTCCACGATGTTGGGCCCGCTGAAAGTCCGCGTCTTCCCCGAGCCGCCGCGCGGGGTAAACTCCGGGCTGACCGACATGTGGGTGTAGTGCCCGCCCCCGCCCGTCAGGATCCCGTAGAAGTCGTCGAAGCCGCGCTCGACCGGCAGGAACTGAGGCATGTGCATGCCCAGGTGCCACTTCCCCACGGCGGCGGTGCTGTACCCCGCCGCCTGGAGCTTCTCCCCGACAAATGTCTCCGTGAGAGGCACCCCCCTCGGCTCCGTTGTGTGCAGCACCGAGTCCTGCATCCCGATGCGGTAGCTGTAGCGCCCGGTCATGAGCTGCGCCCGGGACGGCGTGCAGGTCGGGGCGGTGTAGAACGTCGACAGCTCCACCCCCTCCGCGACCATGGCGTCCAGGTTGGGGGTGGAGAAGGTGGTGTCATGGAAGCCCACGTCCTTCCAGCCCAAGTCGTCGACGACTACGACGAGCACATTTGGATTTTCTGTCGTTGCGGACGAACCGAACCCCAGAGCCTGTGGAGCTCGCCCGATGCTCAACAAGGCCAGCAACGGTAAAGAACCGGCTCTCCATGGTACCGGCGACATCACCCCGTGCTAGGGTGCCTGCAAACCCCGGTTGTTTGTGAGGTAGTTGGCCTGTGTGGGTGCCTCGCCGCGCGTCTGTCAATGCGTGACGGCGGTGCACACCGCGGACAGGAATTCGATAAACTGATACCCCCGCCACGGCAATACCTCAGAGGATACCTGCACACCATCGATATCTTTCTGGGATCTTTCTTTTACCGCGTCTTCGCCCATATTTTCTTCCCTATCACCTTCTTCCCCACCCAGCAACCTTTTTCGTTTGCAACTGGAAGAAAGTAAGCGATAGAGGAGGGGAAAGGACATGCCATGCGTATCGCATGACGTACAAACCACGCACCTACGCCAAAACAAATTTAATATATGAAAAGAAACTCCATAAAAAGGGTGGTGGTGCTGCCGCCTGTCTGTCTGTCTCTTCGTGTGGTGTGCGCGCGAGTTGCCAATAAAAGCTACAAGTACACATGGAGCATTGTTTCGACTCTCCAACATATTGTGCGTGTTTGCTAGATGCTATATTAGATACTTGCGAACCATCGTCACACCATTCATTGTGAAAAAGAGCGATCTGTGTTTCGAATTCACTCACTCTCTCGTTGTTCATCATGCATTCATCGTGCATGGCATGCTGGTGTGCACATGTTTACATTGCATATTACGACCAACGACGAAGAACAAACGTGTTGTGTACACGTGCAGGTGTGTGTGGAAATTTCTCTCGGCAAAAGCAACGCTCGTTCGTTGTGTTCGTCGACCAAGAACCCACTAAAACTGGGACACTTACGAGATAACAGCACGTCTTGGTTGTGAAATGGACTGCCGCTGTGTCTGACGTAGATGATGAATAAAACGGAGACCGATGAACTTTTGTCCTTCCTTACTACTCGTACTGCGCGCCCGTTGTGTCTCGTGTAGCGCAACATTCGTGATATATTTCCCAACCGGCTTAATCATCTGGCTGCCCAAGCGACTTTTTGTGCGCTACACCCGTGTATCATCGGCGAGGTTTTAGGGTTTCGGCCGCCGGGGTGCAGATGGTGGTGCTCACGACGCTCCGATGACATCTTGTAACAAACCAATGTTTGTTGCCGATGGTTTTGAAGGAAATGTCGTAAAAAAGGGCCAAATGTTTATTTACTGCTGTTGTACCACAATTCGACAATAACGCTGGGAGTTGCGTGAACCCCGCCAATACCACGGCAGCTCTCTCGATACGCTGACTCAACGTCGCGCGCATCACTTCCTCTTCTTGCCCTTTCTTCTACTCCGAGTGTGCATCGGCTTCCACGTTGACCCGGAATCGTTCTTCTTCTTCTCTGGGGCCTTCTTTCCTTCCTCTTGCGCCAACTTCACGGCGCCCCCTGCGGCACCGCTCGCCTCGCTCTGCTCTTCAGGCGTCATGCCCATCTCCTCTCCTATCTTGGCGATCTCGTCTCGTAGCTTGATGGCCTCGTCCTCTCGCCCCGCGACGTGGTGCGTCATGGAGAGGTTGTGCATGGACACGAGCACGTCGAAGTGCTTCCGGCCGTAGAGCTTCTTCCTGCGAGTTTAGGTTGCCGAAAACGGTTGTTGAACAAGTGTTTGTTCAGACTGCCACGCTATCAACCAATCCAACCGACACTGTCTCTGTCGCATGATGCTGTGCGTTGGCATGTAGATCCGCGCTAACAGGCCTGAAACGGCGCTAGTTTGAGAGGGCGGAAACGAAAAACGTGTGCAGGCTGCGTGTTTATGTGCGTGCGCACACTTGCGGAGTTCTGAAGGGCAAAACTTGGCATGCCGTGGAAACACAAACACACACGAACAGGTCCTGAAGACTCTGCAGAACATGGTAAGTCTCAGAGAGAGAGGAAGAGAAGGAGAGAGAGAGAGAGAAAGCTGAGTGGTACCAAGGGTGAGAGGGCTGAGTGGGGCGGGCGGTATGCCAGCCGGCGTCCATCCGGCAACCTTTTAGTGCTGAATGTGCCTTTGAGCTTCGCACTCCGGCGAAAATTCCGGAGTGCTTCTCGAGCGAACGCGGGGTGTGCTTGAACGAGGTTTAGTTTTAATTTTGAAGACAAAAGAGCCAAGTCGCGTCACTCAAGATTAATATTCGGATGTTTTCCCCGATATACGAAGCAAGGTAGTAATCGAAGTCAAGGGGAACGTTCTCGACGTCTTACACCTTATACACAATGCTGACCAAGGCCAGCCTGCAGAAGGCTCTGATCCTTCCGGGAGAAATGGAAGAGACAACTTGAGTGCATCATACATATCCCAATAACATAGCAACCATGGGCCCGCCGCCACTCCGAATGTTGATGCGTAGTCTAAATATGTGCTTGAGCGCATGATTAGTTGATTGGTGTGAAGCACTCCGGCTGCCCACAGCTCTTGAAAACGAGCACAAACAAAAACGAGCACGGTGAAAGGCTCGGTCACAGCAAAAAACTGCTGTGCTGTGCTGTGCTGTGACATGCAATTTCCCCCCTACAGTAGCAGGCTCCCTTTACTGGTTAGAGCCAGCCGCATGAAACTTGCCCGAAGCCACGAAATCAATGTACAATGGCAAAGGAGTTGCTTGAGGTGAGATCTGTGCCTAAATCGGAACTCTTCGGGTTCTTCATCACGGTTACTAGCTGTATGGTTCAGGCCGGAAGTGTCCGACCTGAAATCTCGCCGTGCGGCGCAACGCGGACCCCTTTGACAGGATGCACCGTAAAATTCTCGTCGAACAAAGAGCCTTTTCGAAACCGAGCCAAAGAAGTGCCTCCGACCAAACGATCTACCCAACACCAAAACGAGACCAGATTATGCCGCACCTAGTCTCCAAGACGTCGGTGTACAGGTCGGTCGCCTCAGCGAGCTTCCCTTCGCCCTTGAGGAAGAGGGCCAGGTTGGTCTTGGCGTTAGCGGTGCTCGCGTCGTCGTTCCCCACGGCCATCTGGAGGCCGTCCAGGGCGGCTCTCAGGCGGGCCTCCGTCCCCTCCTTCTCGCCGCCGCCGAGCATGTCCTGGACGGTGGCCAGCCGGCTCCGCGCTAGCTGCAGGTCCGGGTGGTTGTTGGTCAAGATCTGGAGGAGAGACAAGAATAAGAAAATAACAAGAACAGAAGAGCACGGCGCACCGCGAGATGTACAAGGGGCGTGTGTGCCGATTCGGAATGATCGTTGCCCACGAGCTTGCCGGCCTTGGGTATCTGCCAGTATCCCTCCGCGTATGTATGTTACAGGCGTTATTTCTCACATCTCTCACAGCGATTCGTGTGAAGCGATGGAAGACAGGAAGCGTAAGAGTTGCAGAGTGCAAGAACAAGCCTCCGATAGAAAGCGTCTAACGAAGATTGGTGGGGATGCCAGGGAATCGAGCCTCCTATTTGCCCCTCTAACAGCGCGTAGCGCCCCAAACCTGGATTGTACCCCATATTGCAAAAAATCGCACCATGTGAAGACGAAATCGTAGCAAGCAAGCTTGAGGGTTATGCGCGGTTCAATCCGATTTGACTGATTCAGACTCTACAGCAGCAGGTCATAGTAGCACCTTTTCTCGGATCTGGACGCAACGCTCGAAGGATTCTGCGGCGCGCTCCATGAGCGGGATCTTCTCGAGCTTCTTGGAGTCCTCTGCCATGGCGCGGAACAGCATGCCAAGGTTGTGCAGGGTGCTGGCGAAGGACGCGTTCTCCTCGCCCTTGTACACTGCCCGGTAAACCTTCTCGAGTCATGGCGAGCAAACCGCAAAGAGTGCCGTCAATGCAGGCAGGCTGGGTGTTGGGGGACCACCTGCTGAAACATGTGTCTCTCTGGATGTCAGAGCATCGTCGGGCAATGTATTCTCGGTGTACTTGAACTAAGGTAGGAAGGGTAGCACCGGTTTCCTCCAAACGAAAAGCCAACCGCAGAAGGAAGGAAGGCAAAAACCCCAACTCCTATCTTACAAGCTGTGCTCAAACGTGCCACTGCTGGCTACAACACCGACGGTACAGAACCCGCATCTACAGCAAGCACGAGTCACTTGACATCATCGTTGCCATGTCTCCGCGCGGCAGCCTGTACGCACGCACGCACGCAGCCGGCCCGAGCAATGCAGGCCTGCCTTACGCTTCAAACATACGTCTCGGATGCGGTAAGACGCAAGCATACCTCGAGGGCCTTGAGGTAAGTCTCCGTGGCTTCCTGGTGCCGCCCCATTGACTTCAACATGAGCGCCATGTCGCTCAGAGCGCTGCCGTACACGCCGTGAGCCCTTCCGAAGTGGTCATCCACTTGGTCCACTAGTCGCTCCGCCACCTCCAGAGCGTCCTATTGGGCACGGAATACCATCAGATGGCTGTTGGCAATTGAGAGGAGCCGTCCAGGCTATTCGTTGCTTCCCGTACTTGGGGGCTCTCGGTTCCCGAAAGGGTATGTTGTTGTTGTTGTTGTCTTCACATGACAGAAACAAACGTTCCGTTCTCTACATGCGCATCCGTATAATTGCATTGCAATACGACCACACCGCACACATTTGGAGAAGTGTGAACACTCAGTCCTGATGACACATTTCAGACTGGTCAAAGCTGTGATTCGAGAAAGGAAGTTACAAGTAGACTACGTAGTACAGGGGTATTGGCTCTAGGGCAAGGGGAGAGACAGCTCTCTCCTTTAGTCTGTGCACACAGACGTTCATGTTGTGAGCTGACCAACCATTACTACTGTGTACCATGTCATGTAAAGCCACCATTCCTCCCGTTTGCACACAAACACCATCCTCCAACCTCTCTGACCTGATACATTCCCTCTTTGTAGTACTCTCGGACGGCTTTCTGTGTCTCGCGTATCATGCCCTCGCGCTCCAAGTAACCCTTCTTGCTCTTTACTCGAGGCCCCGTCAACATCGACGGGGATGATCCCTCCGAGGACACCAGCGTGTTCACCGGAGTAGACTCCACTTCTAAAATTTTCTCCGGCTCTGACCCCGCCCCATCAGCAGCTTCAGTAGGCTTGCCAGAGGAAGACTTGGAGCTTAACCGCCTGCCGTGGGAGGGTGTCGCTGCAGGCACAGCTGCTGCTGCGGTTGCTGAGTTCTTGCTGCTGCCAGTGTGGACTGACGGCCACATGGCGGAGGACGGACCGTACTCTACACCATGGCGCCCGACAAGTACAGCCGGAGTGGTCCTAGAACATGATGCCGACACTACCCGCAGGCAGTTGGCGACACCGGTCGCTGCACGTCGCATGGCAACGTGAAGACGCGTAATGCGTAGGCGATCGAGGTGCATCGAGAGAGAAGTAATTGCGCCGCACAATAGCAGGTTCGTGCGGCGTTTCGCTGAACGGGGAAACTGTAGGTCTTTCTTCGACCAAAAACACAATGTAGTGTCCCGGGACGGTGTGTAGTGTGTAGGTCTGTCGTTGTCGTTGTGTGCGAAATCAGTTCTGTCCATTGAAAGGAACACATACGTTCCACGGTGGTTGTTGTTCGAAGGATGATGTGGGTTCATGTCGGGCAGTTTGTCGTAACCGAAAGTGAGGATGAAATGCATGGTTCTCCGTGAGGGAGCGAAGCGGGGTTGTGAGTCCAGTGTTCAGTACACCCATCACAGGAGCTCCGCCACTTGCGAAAAATACGGCGTGCATGCCCGAAACAGCTACGCAAATCACGGGCGGGAAGGCATGCGTGCCCAACGACCGATGCGTTTGTGCAGGCGGCCGTCGAAACGGAGTCATGATCCATCCACCGGGGCGGGGAATATGGACTCACTTACGTACGTCCGAAGCGACCGGATTGCAAAGAGAAGGCGCCAAGTTGTCTGTGAACAAATTCTGTGAGCTTGCAGCCATTCAATCCTCAGCAGGGTGATGCTAAGCGGGCGCGACCCCCAAAAGAGTCGGCACCCTCCCGGCCAGGAGGAAAGTGTCCCCCAACACCCCCACCCAACCACGCAAAAGAGAAGGACCCTCACCCCGCATCATCCCTTTCCCCAGAAGCAAACGCGCCCAACATCTCCGCTAAAAACGGTCGACACTGCTGTTCAACGGCAACATCTGCAACAATAGGAGTCGAGGAGACGGAGTGGCCCGGTCGAACGAAGGAAGGCTAAAAGAAGTGCGAAGAGCACGCCGCTAGCGGGTCGGGCTTTACTCGTCAGCAACGACAGCTTCCTCGCCCTCGTCCTCCCTCTCCATCTCCATGCCGATGTCCTCGGTGGTGTTGTCACCGTGCATCTCCATCAGCTTGGTGACTGCAGCGACAAGGTAAAGGGGGGCAGGCAGCGGGGTTCTCATGAGGTCAGCCGATACACTCCTCCTGTGCTACCCAGCGGTGGATCTCTGAGTTAAACGGGGTTGGTTTTGAAACAAAATATAAAATAACTCGAGAGTGATGACTTTGGGAGAGGACTGGAGACGGCACCATCCTTGCTGATGACTTCTGTCGTCGCGGGCCGGCCTCCGAAGCAAGATACTCAAATCCACACAAACGTAGAGGGAGCAAAACCCAATCGAGAATACTTGGCACACATGAAAAACCCACGCAAATGAATATTTCCCGTCAAATGCGTGAATAACACTATTAATAGTCTTTAGAGTCGGCGTTGTTTAGTTTTTAGTTTGGGGTACGCGATAATGATGAAGCCAAAACTATCCGACAAAAACAAAAAACGTGGTTGTGTACATGTACAGCAGTACATGTACATCTTCCAACGCCTCCTTGAGGACATCGCCGGGGCACACGCCGCGCTGAAATCGAGAGTCCTCAGGACTGGACATCATCCGGGGTTACGCAACAAAACGGGCACATTACTCACGGTCGAACTTGGGCTTCTTGAGCGCCTTGACCTTGCGGATGTAGACGTTCTGCATCGGGTAGATGCTCTGCACAGCCTTGAGGATCTCTCCGGAGATGTTCTCGGGGATGCTGCAACAAACCACGACATCGCACACACGGCCATGGTCAACAAGGTGCAGGAGTGCGAGGCGGGGGAAGAACAACACGTGATTTCATGTCATATCGCGGAAAGGTACAAGGAGAAGTCCCATCAAGACCCTGCCCGCACAAAGGGCGGGCAGGTAAGCCAGAAGCATACGCACTGGTCGCGGCGCGCGGTGTTGGTTAAGATCGCTTGCTGCTTCACTGAGATATTCATGTTGTTCCGCGTCATTCACCCAGCAGTTAAAAGATAAAGCCATGCGGCCAGATTTGCTCCTACCGGCGCTTTGACCTCTCGTGTATCAATGCCCAAGTGGCAATGCATCCAGCCGTTGAGAAAAACGTCATTTTTCATTAGCGGCTGATGAACCCCAAGTGGCATTCAAGAATTGGAGGCATTGAAAAAAACTCTTTCGCTGCATCGTATGCATACCCTCGCCAACAATGCGGGATACGATCTCACACCAACCCACGCGAGCGGCACGCAAAAACACGCGCCGGGGTTACCACATACCAAGGTGTTGATTAACGTGGTTCGTAGCGGGAGAGGCACTCACAACTTGAGCACGAGCTCCCTGAGGTCGCACTTGGAGGCCTCCTCCGACATGATGTCGCACATCTTCTTGCGCACCGCTCGGATCTGCGACGCCTGCGCGTAGCAAGTCTGCTTGATCTGGTTGTCCTGCTTCTTGGTGAAGCCGATGCAAGACTGCGCCAAAACACGACGCAGGTCGACCAACGGAAAGGGGGCACCGCCGAATGTATTCACGTTGAGGAAGGAGGGGTCAATTAGCGGACGTGGTGCATAGTGACGTCATCCGTAGATAAGAGGGAGCGGGCTTGCGGTCATGAGCCTGAGTCAAGCTCGTCTCCTTCGATTTGTGGACCAAAAGGAAAGGTCAGGCTGGTCAACAGTCGATGTGCAACGAGAATCGCTATCGACTGCCGTACATGAGGGTGACTATCTTGCAAGTATACAACACGTTTCTTCAAGACGTTGTCAAGGGCGAAACAACGCGTGTGTACGCGCCCAACAGCTTGGTGTCGGCACAACAACAACGGAGGGGACAGGGCCGCTGTTCAAAAACAAGAAGCGCGCCTAACGACAACACTGCCGTCCATAATATTTTCCGCGGTCAAACTCGAACCCGTAGCTGAACCACCACAACGAGCACAGCGATTTTGTACCAGCACCGGTTAGAAAACAAAAACACCATGGAAGCGGCCTTTCTTCTTATCCCCGCGCCAGCCAGCTGTTTGACAAAGAGCCGTTCCTGCTTTTCCTTCCTCAAGCACAAAAGAGGCGAGTCCGTATGTTTTCGTTTGTACTTGTACACTCACGATGCGGAGGAGGTAGCCATCGGTCGTGCGAACGTCCACCTGCCCCTCGATGAGCGTCTGCCACTTCTTGATGAGCGAGCAGAGCTTGTCGCGGGTGAGGTCCATTCCGTGGAAGTTGGTGAGGACCGAGGTACCCTGGACGTCCTCGCAGCACAGCTTCACCTTCCGGTACCCCTGAGAAAAAGAGGGAGGAGCAAGAAACAAGACATCAGTCATGCCGCAGGGTGGGCGAGTTCGGGAAGCTGCAAAAAACAGGCACCAAGCGAGGCTTGGGCCACCTCTACACTGTGATGGGTCAGTCTCGAAGGTCAACCGCAGGAGCTCGGGCATATTCTGGAGAAACCAAGCACCACCATGTTCGTCGCTGCGTGCGAACAGTCGACCTTTCCCCAATGAACGTCGTCTGCCGCAACGGACGGGCAAGACTCTGCTGAACCCGACAACAACTCCCGTAAGGGCGGCCTTGTGGGCTTAGAATAACTCTTGTGCCTGTGAGTTAGCTCACTACTGCTTGCCCTCGTCAACGTCTGCCTATGCCCGGTCTTCTCCCCGTGAGTATTCCACGAATGTTCCAAGCTTGGGAGACAACTGAGGGCTTTGCCCACGCCTCTGATTCTAGAGTCCCAGAGGACGCTTAGGCTACCGAACCAAACAATGAAGTGCCTTTGCTCACAACCCGAGAGAGTGTAGAAATCTAAAAGTACGATTAGGGTTAGTAAGGGTATCTGCCATGTCAACACCACAGCAACGGCAAACTGAATTGTTCATTGTTTTGGTCACCCCTTCGATCAAGTCCCCACAGGGTCCAAACAAAGAGGAATACGGCGGGCGGTGCCCCATAAAGTGCTCACCAGCGGCAAATGGAGATCGGACTAGAGAAAATACTAAACACGCACCACATCCTTTAATTCAACTGCGCCGAGGCTATGTTTTCAGTATACTTTCAAAGGTAACCGAACCGGGCATTCGTCCGCCAATCGCAATCGCGAATAAAGTACACAATTGAACACAGTACGAAGCGCCGAAGCGGCCGTTCAAGTCCAAACTCAACACTGCTGTTTCAAAGGGCGTTGTAGAAAACACACGCCACATTCAGGGGTCCAACTCCTCATGTAACCGACGACGGTCCTGCGCTCGCTTCGGTATCCAACAGAGAAAAGCAAACGGCACTTGAGGAGACTGTGTCTACAACAGCAACCGTAGTGCAATTACAAATCGTGACCAGGAGGGTCAATTTACTACAGTAAGCACCCCGGAGGGGGGGGGGGGATTCGACACGAGAGATGATCTTGAGGTTTTCGCCTCCGAGAGGACATAAGATCTTCGGAAGGTCCTTGCACCAAACAACTGCTCCTCACCAGGTCCTCGTCGGCGTTAAGGTCTCCGAGAGAGAACTCGAACACACGCCCCTTAAGCCCCTCCGAAGCGATCTCTGCTCCGACCAGCGACCGGCGGTGGCGGCGGAAACAGCGGTAACAACAGCAGACGCATCCAAACGTTAAGGAGATCTTTTCAGAACAGGCGGGGGGGGGGATGAGAATGACAACAGAAGCGCCAGGGACTAACAACCGTCCCGTAGGTGTTCGGCACATACGACTGCGGTGGGATTGCGGTGGTGGTCAGTTGTTACACAAACCTATTTAGTCACGGGCTGGAGGCCAAAGGGCGTGCGCTCACGTGAGTACGGCGCGCAAAACACTGCATGACACAAGGGGACAGGATACTACACGTTCCGAGCTGTGCATACGGCTCACAACGGTTGTGCTTGCGCGCCTCTATTCATCCGCAGAGACAAGTAAAACCAACCCGGTGAGCTAGGTTCGCTCGGTTGTAAGGTGGCCGCCAGGCTGGCGGAGACCGCAACGCGCATGACGCCCGCAAAGTAAAAAAATAAAAAAAAGAAAAAAAAAGACAAGCACACGAGGACGACGGCGGACGTCTGTTATCTTTCTCCCATCCTATATCCTCTTCTTCCTTCGGAGCGGGATGCAACAAAAGGACAAGAGACGAGTCAACTCACTAGTTCCCTTGGTACGCGTGACAAGAGTCTTGCCCGGGTTGCGCACTTGGAAGATGGAGGGCGCCTTGATGTCGTACCACTCCTTGAGGGTCATGGGGTCCACGCTGCCGTCGGCAAGCCGCAAAAGAAACACAACAAAAAAACGCGAAATGCTCGCGAGGGTGACTACTCTGTGCCGGATGCTGGAAAACTGCTATCGGTAAGTTTGGTCAATTATCGGAAACGCGGGCGGCCAGTTTTGCACTCCGAGGAGGCCGGCCTTCTGAGAGACAAAAATATCGGTGTTCCAAGCGTGTATCCGAGAAAAACGGAAGTAGAGATTGCCTTCAGTTTTCTGCGGTCATCCTCTGCCAGCCCTGGGCAACCCTGTCAAGACCTGACGCCAACGTGTGTGGAGGCCGCGTGAGTAGTGGGTCATCTAATGTTGATGGGCACCTGACTTGTTTCAATCAACTGAAGGAAACGAGGTTTGCGCGTTCTTCAAATGGGCCATTTCTTGGGTACAGCAGTACTGCGGTACCCACCAGGTAACACGGCAACACGCACACGGCGCAGAGTTGAGACAAGGAGCACCGACAACGTCAACAGGGTAGCAAAACGTAGTTGCTGCCCTACAGCCGCCGCAACAACGTGTGGTCGACTGGCGTGCAACCAGCAACGACTTGGTTCCAATTTAGTGGCAACTTTCGCCACCGTTTCGTGTCTACTCGAGTAGAACGACAGAACGCACAGCAGCAGTCGATATTCAAAAGCAAAGCGTATGCAATCCATATTTTAAGCAGCACCTGCGACACCAGGATGGGTACCCCTGACGTCCCCACCAATTCGATAAAAGATTGCCGACGACACCAAAAGCCTTTCATCACCCACCCATACGACTTTCTCCAACACTCCCAACACAACAAACTCTCACGTCTTCTTCTTGTTGCCCTTTCGGCCGCCCTTCTTGTTCGTCTTGCCTGCAACATACCAAAAGCAAGGCGAGGGAAAGTCACACAGCAGCAGCAGGAGCAGCAGCAGCAGCAGCATGTGTTTTCCTCAAAACAGCGGGGGAATGAAAGTCATAATCCACCAGCAAAGGATGGCAGCTGTGAGAAAGAGGGCATGGCGGCGTGGACAACCCCGGTGTCTGATGGTGTTTGGCCACCGTTGTCGTGGCCATCTTTTCTCCACGCTACCGCGCGGCGGCGGCAGCGATGAAGAAATGAGAGCCACACGCCCTGCACGCTACGGCGGACATTTTCGTGCGAGGACAACGCCGTGCGCAAGGACGCGACAAAGCGAACAAGGCACACACTCAACACCTCCACCATCCTCCTCTCGGTGTCTGTATGGTGTGTGCATCTGACAGCTCCGTCGATGCAAGTCCAACGTTGCGCATCCACCACCAAGCGAAAGAGGCAGGCCTCGGGATGGGCCCCTAATCCAGTCAAGGCAATCGCGGGCCATAAGGAATCTCAGGCACCATTTCCACCGCAAATCCCGGCTAACCCCAAGCTCCATCAGCGTGCTATCCTTGCATGGACTCACCGATCGCCATGGTTGCGCCGAGTGCGAGGAGGGGGAGCTCGCTCACAGAATATGACACGCGCTAGAGGCCACCCACCGAGTTGCTACGGGGGAGCTCCGTGCATCGAATAAAAGAGGTGGGGAGGGTGCTGGCTAGGGGGCACATTATTTAGAATTTTGTGCCGCATCATCGCAGACAGTGAGATCTGAGATCCAGGTGTGTGTGTCTGCACGGATCCGTGCACAGATTCAGACACGTCACGTGACAAATGTGAAGCATTCGCATGTGCCCGACGTTGCGGACAGGCATTTTTACTGTTCACTTTCGAGGATTGTGCACTCTGAAAAACGCGACCTTGTGTATGCAAACCAACGTGTGTGTAGATTACCGCCGTAATTGACGCAAGATACCACACCCCCTGGACCGATGTCCAAAGCTCGACTACTCCACGACAAAGTGGAAGCATGGATGCATACATGAAAGGATATTTCGGGGAACTCTCGATCAGACAGCCTCAACCCCGCTGTTTTCGGCTCCGGCGTTTTTTTGGCTGTGGAGAAATCGAATTTTGAAAACCAAGCCAGGGTGTGTCATATCTTACGTCATCTGCCGAATGTTTTGATGTTTTGGGTCTACAACATGTTCACACTTGCTGAAGGAAGTCCGTAGCCTACATGTATGCTATGCACGTTTACGCAGACCACGATCGCCCTCCGTATGTATATTCACAAAGTATGCCTACAGCAGTCTTACTTTGTACATGACGGCTTGCAGGGTCAGGTCTGTAGCCGAAATCAAAGCAGTAGACTAGTCAGCGCGATTTGGTCTTCATTGAAATTCTCTGGCCTACCCGATACCTTTCAGCAGTATCATCTCCTCACTTGAACGAAACGACTTCCGTGGGCCAAAAGCTAACCAACAATAAAAACAAGGTACAACAATACCTACAGCAGTTGTCTACAGCAGGAACGAGAATCCGAAAATGCCCACACCTCAAGAAATACAAAACTAAAGAGACTAGGAAGTGGACAATAACATCACCACATGAGAGGGAAAAATCAAGATATTCAAAGGCTCCTACACCGTACGGAGCGAGGGAGTGCTAGACTACCGTACGTAGTGCTCGTCCACAGTTTTTCCCGTCACCTGGCCAGCCCTCCTCCCCCACGCCCTAGGAAGGAAATCCGACTATTAAATACAAATTAACAGAAAAGGTAAGAAATCCTACGAATACCACAAACCTACTTCGTATGTATCAACGAGGGGAACAAAGCAAATAGCATGCGTTCAAGTACTTTCTTGCACATGGCAAAGTTCAACAAAGCACACCACACGTGTGCATAGCATAGTGTTGACGTGCGCGGAACGGATGTGGTAACACCGATAAACCAGGGTGCAGCGGCGTCATGCAATGTTGTAACCGCTACAATACAGGGCATCCCGCTGAGCAGGGACCCCTATACCGGGGTCCGCAATCAAGGGTCCAAAACTGAAATCAAGATACCTGCAGTTCATGATCCGCATCATGGCCCGTTGCAGGCAGCACGACCAAGTACCAAATCGATCGCCCTACAATTCACGACAAGCAGCTACACTCGCCACTCCATTCACAAAGGGGCGCTTGCAGAAGTTGTTATCCAACTGAACCAGGAACACCATGTGCAACAACTATGATGCACTTCCTCTTCACACGGATTGGGACCGGCACCCTTTCTGATGGCTCAGCGCTTGTGTCAACAAAAAAAAAAACGCGACGTTTGTACGCTAAACCGCAACAACCTCCGCCTGGCATCTCTTTCCTCCGGTGAAAACAACCTCCGATCACGGAGCCAGGAACTACGCTCACGGGCAGCCGTAGGCCGAACACCTAAACAAAAGGGGGGCACATAAAGCATTCGCTCGTGATTATCGCGGGGCCGCTAGCGACAACTCGCTCGCTACGTCCTCTTCGGGAAGACGTGCAAAGCGCCACCCCTCCGCACATTTCGGAGTGCCGCGGCCTTTCGACAGTCTTGACCTAAACCGGCGATGTCAAAGCCGCCGCCAAGTCGATCAGGGTCTGCCGCGCGCGTCGGAGTCCCCCGAGCCCGCCCCCGCCCCCCTGCCTCCGAAAGACGTAGTGCATGCGGCCGCCTTCGTCGGCAAGCTCGAACCCCATGGCGCGAACGACGCCTCCGCCTCCCGCCAGCCTGCCGATCTTGCGATCGAAGAATCCGTTCGCAAGGCGGATGCGGGAAACCTTCGGGTCCAGGGGAGACGCCAGGAGATTGTCGGCGTACTTGCGCATGGTCTCGAGAGCGGTCACGACTTCCTCGAGCGCCGGCGGGGGGGGGGGAGGGGTCCGCGGTGCTGGCGACGACGCGGCTGCGGAGCGCCCCGCCTCGCCGCCGCCGGGAGGCGGAGCATTGAACGCCAAAAACTGGGCGCACGCCCTCGCCACTCTGTCGGCGGCGTACAGGTTGGTCTTCACGACTGGGTCAAGGGCCAGGGAACTCTCGCCGCTCGCCCCCGCCGCCTGCCCCCCCCTCTCAGCAAGGGTTACCCCGAGGCTGTGCACGTGGCCCCCGACGCCTCCGTGAAACCCCAGGAACGAGCTCCCCGTCGGTACGTGCCAGGTTCGCTGCAGGTGCCCGCCGGCGCCCCCCCACGTTTTTTCCCGGCCCTTGTTCGTCCTGACCCGCACGCTGTCGACGATTGCCCCAGCCTTGACGGATATCTCGGTCAACACCTGGAAAAAAGAGACGGTCATGACGTTACCGCATCAGCAAAACAAGAAAAGCAGCATGCCGAAAGGTCGGGCGACCTGGCGGGGTCATGACGGAGCGACCCTTCCGCTTCCATCTACTCGTCAAACCCACCCCACTGGTTGAAACGGCCCCACACAAAGCTCATCAGCGACGTGATTCGGCGAGGCAATTTTCAACCCTTGGTTCGCCACGAAGACCCCTCGAGCCCCGCAGGGCGACAGTCCCGGCAAAGAAGACTTCGATTTGTTCCCCCAGAACAAAACAGCAAAAGAGCGCCCAGCCAGGCCGCCGGCGGACTGACCACCCACAGGGTGGCTGCAGCCTTGCCCCTACCTCTCCGCCCTCGACATCCAGCACGAAATTCGACTGGCGGTAAAGGCCGTGGTCGCCCATCCGCTTCGGCCCTCGGACGGCATCCCCTTGGACGTCGTAGACCACCTGGACGCCGTTGACGGCGTCTCCGCTCCACCCAACGATCTCTCGCACGCGGCCGGCCGGCAAGAACGGGGGCGCACTGCCGTCCGCTGTTAACGCGACGGGGGAGCCGCCCATGACAAACGCGGGGCACCTTCGAAGGGGGGGAAAGGCGACGAAAAACACGTAAAAGAAGTATCAACACATAGGTTTCGATGTGAAAGAAGGAAGTCGTCCACAACAGACGTTAAGGACATGTGGTGCCCATTTTAAAGGGCACCTCCAAGGTCACCTCCACATTCCCCCCCCAGCTCCTCAGGAGCTTATTTCTTGTTGGCTAGACAAGAAAAGGGTTATATTGTAAGGGTAACAGGACCTGGTCATCTCTTCGTCGACGACAATGTGATAAGGGGGCATCAGGTCGACAATGTGATAAGGGGGGATCGGTCGTCCTCGATAGACGGTGGGGAGGTGGGGACCTTTCTAAAGGTCACGTCCGCACACCGCAGAGGCATGCGGTGCGAAAACACTTACAACATCGCCAGAAAGCCGTGCATCAGCATGTCTACATTCCCGTTCCGCGGTACCCGGCGAGCAACCATCCAACAAAAAGATAAAAGCCATGGGGGAGATGATACCCAGTCACGGGTTCAACCGGGCCACCCGCGGTCCTGCAACATGTGTCGTTGACGTCACAGCTGCAGCCGCTGCCGTCTGCATGACGCCCCATCCACACACCCCAAACAAAGACCAAAAACACACACACATCCGCCCTCACCCGACCGGCCCGTCATCGAACTCCTCCGTGTCCTCGTGCGTCCCGCCGACCGCAGGGTGAACAGTCGTCACCACCCAGCCTACAGGGGGCACCGCCGAGACCTCCTCCTTCTCCGCGTCGTCGGCCGACCCAGCCCCCGCCATGTCCCCGGGAACTTGGAGCACGGTCGTCCAGCCCGGGCAGTCAACCAGGTCAACCGCCGGCCCCATCGACACCGTCGGTTCCCCCGCGCGGCGGCAGGTTCCGCGGGCGGACGCAGACACCGCCACGGCAGACGGCGTGGTCGTCGCCGCCGCCGCATCGCCTTCGGCCGGCAGCGACCTCAGCGGGCACAGGGAAAGCTTGTCCTGCAGTTCGACCTGGACGGCGGCGGCGCGGCCCGAGGCGGGGGGGGGCAGCAGGATTTCCGTGTACAGGGCGCAGCGCCCGCCGCCACCGTCTTCGCCCCGGTGCTGACGGCGAGCCCATCTCCGGGCACCGGTCGGTCCCTTCTTCAAGCCCACGACCGCGATCGCCGTTGGCGTGCTGTCGTCGTCCGGCGGCTTCGACTTGCCGTCGTCATCATCGGTATCTGGGCTCCCTTCCCCGAAGAGCTGCGTCAACATCGCCTCCGTGAGCCCGGAGCCAAGGCCCGCTTGGTCCTTCCGCTGCCCCCCGGTGGCGGTCGCGACGGCCACCACGGCGCCGTCAGGCAGGCCGTCCAACCACGCTGCCGCGGCGGAATCAGCCTCGCTGCCGAGCACGAACGTGTTCGCGCCGAGGAGAACCCCGGTGGTCGCCGAAACGGCGGCGACGCAGACGGCCCCGCGGTGGACCCTACCACCCCCCGACAGCCGACACACCGTCGCCCCGCCCACAAGGACGGAAGCGTCCCCGGAACGTTCCACGACGGCCGCCACGCAGAGAGCGAGGCCGCCGCCCGGTTGGAGAACGGCCATCGGGACGCCGGTAAACGGAGAAGCCGCCGCCGCCGCCCGTGGTGACCCTCCGGCTGCTCCGGCGGGACCTCCTCCCTCCCCGCGAGACGCGATCCATTCGGCGTCCCCCGACTGCCGACCCTCCTGTCTCCAGGGTACGACAAAAAAGAGGAGCACAAGGCGATGTAGGCGGGGAATCGCGATCAGTGCAACACAACAGAGCTTCTTCCCTGTCTGCGTTGAGGTGTTCGTGTTTAATGATACTGCGACAAACGCCTGTTGATTTCTTTTGCGCCCCCCGACCCTGGCAGTGTTGAGGAACAGCCTTGAGACTGGCAACATCGCTCGTCCGGAGGGGGTGAGGGTGGGTAGCATGAGAGTAAACTACTAACCCGAAACAACAAGCAACTTCCTGCCACATCTTAATCTGCAGTGGCCGCCGTCATCGTGTCAATTTCATCGCACGGAGCCGACGACCGAACGATACAGCCACTGTCACTCGTTCACGTCTCCAGGGCGTGCATTTCACTACGGCCGTCTTCTTTTTCAGGAAAAAGCACAAAACCACGCCCACCTTTTCCTCGTTGTCGAGACCGTCGCCGTCACAGCGCATCGATTCGTACCGCTCGAGCTCCCTCTGCTCTTCAGCGAACCTGGCAACGATCGTCCCCGTTCTCGCCGCCGAGTGGCTGCCGATGACGCCGGCCAGCCACTTCTCTGGGACCAAATTTCGGCGCGACAGCACCTGTAGCCAACGCCGCGTGTACCTGTGTTTGGTCGCCAACGAAAACGTCGCCAACCGACGTAGGTAGAGCGAGTTTTGTCAGGCTCAATCACAGAAAGATGGTTGTATCCTGTTCGTGGGTGGATGTGTACCGGCAGAAAGAAGAGCTCAGGCTTGCGAAGAAGAAGAGACACCACTGAACCACATATGGAAATCGTGTGAATCGGACGTTGCTAGTTGGTCAGCGGTGACACAAGTCAGTCTCTTCCGAAACCCATCTCTGCGGGGGCAGAAAATCAAAAACGAGAACAACACCAGCGGGCCTCCAAATGCTCGCTTGTCCCTGCGGTCCATCTTCAAGCACCGGAACACGCAACTCGCACACACGACCCGTCCCTGGCCACCCTGTCGCCTACCGCCTACCGCAGACCGCAGACCCCCTTCGCACGACAGCAGTTCCAGAGATTGCTGACATCTAAATTGCTCGTCGTGCTGCCGCGCCCACCACAATCGTGAGAAGGGTTGACATTGTAGTGACCTTCACCTTCGTGTGACGTCGACCGCGCCGTCCTTGCCGAAGGCGACGACGTAGGACAGCCTCTTGTTCCAGCCTTGCTCGTACATAAGCGGCTTGTCGAGCTTGTTCTCGCAGGCGTCAGCATGCACCCACGCGTTCCTGGCTGGGATCCAGATCTGCGAGACCAATAAAAAAAAAAAACACAAACATGAAAACCGCTTTTCTTACACGTACACCAGGCAAGGAGCCAGGCGCTACGTTTCGGACGGAAGCGCAATCCTCGGACACGTTCGCGCGAGCTGCATGCAATGCTGTCTCTGAAGGGCAGAGAGCGAACCTGTTTTTGGTCTTTTGGACGGGACACGCGAGAGCGTCTGCGTACGTCGTGTGCTACCAAACGAAGGTCGGGGTTTTAAACAGAGAGGCATGGAAAATCGGAATACAACCGAGAGGAAACAACGTGGAGGTCGAGCAAGAAAAAAGCATGGTCTTCACCGGATAGACTACAAGACAGTCATGTGTGGTGATCGGGGGGGGGGGGGGGAGTCGTGGTGTCATGATCGCTTACCTCGGTCCAGACGTGGTCAGTCCAGTCCCTTGCACACCTAGCCTCCAATCCGACCGCCCGGCACATGAGAGTGAAGCAGTTTGCCCACTCGCCGCATCGCCCCTACGCGCGTGCGTCGTCCAGCAGCGTCGGAAAGGGTGTTGTGTGAAGATAAACAACCGCCATCCAGCATCGTGATTTGCGTGCGTGAGACGAAACAACATCCCGAAAAACACACAGCAAAGAAAGACATGTGGATGGGATGCCAAACGAAAGTTGCTGCTGCTGCTGCCGCCGCTGCGACAAACACACGCACAGCAGCCGACAGCATCTCAAGAGACATCTCATCGCAACACACTCCTAAGCAACACATTGCACCATCATCGTAAGACTGCTGAGAGCGCAAGTGTCGGTTGATGGATGCAGCGACTAAAAAAGCTGCTCACGTTCCGCGTCTCCAAGAGCTTGGCGGGATCGTTGTAGCGGGGGTACCGCGTTTGTGCCCCGCACTCCTTGCAAAAGTACAGCTCGACCACGGAAGCCTTGCTCGAGGCTTCCTCTGGGGTCGGGGCGCAGCCCCCTTTGCCCTGCATGCAGGCACCGCGCGCCCCGCAACCGGAACACGGAGGCTTGTTCGTCCACTTGAAGAAGTCCTTCTTGAACCAGCTGGGTGCGGCGGCGAAATCGAGGGAACAATCAGCGAGTGTGGGACACGATGTGGTTAATTTGGTGGGCGGGAAGCACATGGGGTGAGGTCTCCTTTTCAGCATGAGTATCCACGGGGACGAGGAGCTGCTTTGGGACAAAGCGGGCGTGGTACATCCACGGTTTGATGGTGGGATCGGGCGGAACAAGGGTTGACGGCAGGGAGAAGTGTCTCACAAACCGCACTTATTGTTACGTCGTGTCTGGCTTTCTACAAAAAGGCAAAAAACAAAAAAAAGGCGCTCAAGCAGGCACGTGAAAGCTTGCCCAAGCGTTCCCGCCAAAAGAGGTGAGAACAGAAACACACTGCTGTTGTCCCCTTCACCTCAACAACGCCCGAGCCAAGCCCTCTTCCTCAGACAACCCTCCCGCGGCGGCCATCTCCGCCCCCTTCTCGACAACGCTCCCCCCCTCAGTGGGAAGGACGGCCCGGGCCTTGGCCTGCAGCGCGCCGTCCTCGTAAGCGAGGGCACCCCTCATTCCGCTCGCGATCTGCCGCCTCATGTCGGCCATCTCGGGGTTGTCACTGTTGTTGGTGGTCGCGGGCGGCAGCCCTCTGGCGGCGTAGTAAACCTTGTCGGCGGCGCCGGCGGCAGCGGCTTCGGCGGCTACCGCGGCCGGGGAGCCCGGCGGGAGCACCTCGGCTCCTGCGTCTGCGCGGCCGGAGAAGAGGTCGGAGCCGTAGCCCTTCCCGCACGCTTCCTTGGACTGGCACACGAACGCTGCGGCTGTTGAGATGGCGGCGCTGGGCCCGGCCTGGGGGGGAGAGAGAGAGAGTTAGTTGGACGCGCCAAGATGTCGTCGTCGGGTGTTGACGAGGTGGTGCGGTGGTACGGTGAGAATGAGAAAGTGAAACACCGCAAACACCCGAACCGCTCGCTGTCGCACATGAACTGCTCGCTGTCACGAAGGGCCGCCTACGTTGCTGACAAGAATCGTCGTCCGCAACACCCCTCATTAGCATATTGTAGGCCCCGGGTCACAGCCTGCTGGGAGATCTAAAAAAAGGTGCGGCACGCGCAAAATGACACCCCGCCGAAAGAACGAACGGCTGGCACGGGATCCCCCCAGCGCCCCCATGATTCACCGTCGCTGTTCGCATATCTCAGGCCGGCTAAGGGTTGAAACCGTCACCAAAACTCACGGCGGTTACGGGACAAACGTGCACATTGAAAACTCACCCTTCCGGGAACAAAGCAGTTCTCCGCACAGGCCTTGCAGACAAGGAGGATCGCCTCTGGCCCGGCCTTCTTCTTCTGGAGGGGGCTGAGGTCCCCCTCGGGCAGGAGGGTCTCTTCGCGGATGACGTACGCCGGCTGGATCACGGGCCTCCCCCCGAAGAACCTTGCGGACGTGAGAGAGCGAGGGCGGGAGGAGAAAGCACAGCTAATGGGATGCTGCTTGGTCGAGGCACGGCGGCACGGGGACCAGATCACGGCGTCAGCGGACACGGCAAAAACATGACCGACCCAAGCCAACTTCTCTCTTCTCCTTCATTGCAGCATGCCCAGCGTACACTCACCCGTAGAACCTGCGGCTCAAGACCGGTGCCCGTCGCCGTCGTCACTCACGTTCGGGAGCAGCATCCCTCCCAGTCGACCTTAGACGCGGCGGTTGCCCCCGCCGCTGTCCCTGCCGAGGCCCGGCCCCCGCTCGCTCCTCCTCGTGCAGCCTTGGAGCGTTTCGAGACTCGTATGACGGGGTAGTTGCCGTACACCCCGCCCCCCGTCTTCCGCAGCGCGGCCGTGAGGTCGGCGTCGCTGTCTATGGGGGTGTTGGAGTTCCCCGCGGCGAGGCTTTGCTCCTCGGCCTCGATGTCGGTTAAAGAGAGCACCTGGTCGTGAGGCCAGGGGCGGCAGGTTGCCAACAGCGGCGGCGGCGGCGGCGGCTCGGTTTATGATGGAAATCAAGCTACATACCCGCATAGACGATCCCTCCAGAGCAAGCGTTAAGACAGCGGAAGGCTGACCAGACATACTGGAAGGAAAAACACTGCTGTGGTGCATGCTCGAGATGGATCATCGAAGGGCTGGCCTGGCTTTCACGACGAGCAATCGGACCGCTGCTATCCACCGCCGCACAGCGGTGTCCCTTCTACCGTCCGCGCGAATGGCCTTCGCCCCGTGATGCCCTAGCGGTAAACACAGAGATTGCAGCAGCCTATGTGCGCTTAGGGCTATGGCCGGGCGTGGTAAGGCCGTGCGCGGCAGAGAGTACTCGCAGACATGACAAAGGCCAGGACGACGGTCAAGGAGGGTGTCGGAACGTCTATCCGACCAGCCGGACGACGCACCTGAAACTTGAAGATTTCTAGCCCCTCGGCCGCGTGCACCTCTACGTCGGTCTCTTGCGCCACCAGGATGAAGCCCTCGCCGCTCTCCCTGGGTTTCTCTCGCTCGAAGCGGAGCTTGACCATGACGGGACCCCCCGCGGAGCTGAGCACAGTTTTTACCAGTCGCGCGCAGCATGGGGGAGACGAGTATTATAGTTGTCTCAACAATATGCCAAGGGATAGGCCTGCTCAGGCGGCTAGTACTTTTGTAGACTCAGGCCTCCATCAACATGGTTACCGCCGCATCGAGGCGTTTGCATGGAACACTCGCCGTATGTAGGTCCACCATGTGGATACGCGTAGAAGAGCAAGAGCATCGGTCGCTGAGAAATGATTCCTTAGCCGCAAGCGAGAACAAGAATCGGTCTGCCAATCGGTAAGCTCAATCGAGAGTTCACAAGCAACGTTGCACAACTACCATTGCTGTGCGCGCATAGCTCCACAAGCAGGGGTCATCCCTCCGATTGAACGAAATTTGTAAGTCTCCTGGACAAGCAAAAATTTTCCTCCTCTCCTTTTCGCGAAGGTTGAGGGTGGCATCCTATCGATGCACGCATTCCATTGGACGTGAAACTGTGGATACGTCATCGTGATACAAGAGGCAAGGACCAAATTGCAGGGCCAAAAGCGCGGAGAAAACCAACACCACAAGCAACCTTATGGCCGGATATATTTCAAACGCTACCACACCTTGCGGCCGCCTGGTGTTGATTCGCTTTCTGCTCTACTTGAGCGATGTTCGCCCCGCGGCACTCGTCGACCTTTGCTCCGCCGACGTAGAAGTGGAAGGTGGGGAAGGACCGCACCCCCGACGCGATGATGGCGTCTCGGCTGTTGTGTTCGTACACCTGAGAAAGATAAAAGCCCCCGTACGGCAAAAATGCTGATGGTTGGATATAAGGACACCACGATGACATATTGTAGGCCGCAGAAAGTAGCAGGCGAATCTGTACGAAGACCATAAAGATAGCGGCAGGAATCTGGCCGTTCGACCTTGGTCGAAGTATACACGACCGTGCTCTCTGAGGGGGTGATTCCTTGGTCTAGTGAGAGTATCATGCGCTCCAAACGAGAGTGCATGAAGGTTGGATGGGACCACAACGAGGTGCAAGCCCGATTAGAAGCAGCGGGGATTTGAAAAAAGTGGTACAACACATATTGTTCGGTATGTCGAAGGCGTAGCTTCTCCCGCACCTTGACAAACTCCACCTCCGGCATCCTCCTCGCCAGGGCTTCATACTGAGGAGCAATCCGCCGGCACGGTCCACACCAAGTCGCGGTGAATTGCGTCACCAATAGCTTCCCCTCGGCTCTCCGTGAAAGCTGGTAGAACTCTGCGCTCGACACCTCTCTCACCGACATATTATTGCTGCCGATTATGTTTGATGTGTAGCATGTAGCATGGGGAGGAAGGCAAGGTCGATTTCGTTTTTCGAAAGTAAACATAATCTCACAGAAAGATTACCCATTCGAGATATAACCACTGCAGTCGAAAGGGATGTGCCGAAGTCTTTGTGGATGGAAACCGGCTGGAAACTGGGCTTATTTTGAGTTTGTTTAAGCCTGTGTATACCCTGAATTGTACATATCAGTTATACCAGCTGGTGCTAAGAACAAAAGCATCTGTATTTACGTAGGTGGACACATTCAATATAAACTCATCCCTGTAGTTGTCTACTGGGTCAACGACAGAATTATCGGGGAGAAGCTCTCCGTTATGTCGTGTGTTACAGTGTGGCCTTCACAGCTTCACAGGGAACACGGCGCAGTGTCGTTGGACAGCTTGCTGGTTTATTTACTTCGTATAATTTCTGTTTGAATCTGCATTTAATTTCGTCTCGTGCTTTTTAAGTCTTCTGGAGAGGAATGTCCTTCGTCTGTGCTGCTGTAAAAAGGACTCGAGCTGACCGCACGCATCATGTGACCTTGTACCTTGGATTGCATAAGATACCACACCCCCTGGACCGATATTCTCGGATAGGTTTTCCACGACCAACGCTAACTCCACTATTTTCGGTACCATCATTGTTTGTGCTGCAGCAGCAGTGGCACTGGGCTTTGAATATCGGTGCAAGGGTGGTATCTTACGCAATCTATTGACCGTAACCCTGTTTGTCGATCGACAGCAGTCTTGGAAGCACTTCTTTGCAGACAGGTTGTCCCAGACCGTCTCACACAACAAAACCCTAGCCACAAGAACGAATCGGCACCAGCATGAGGCATATTGCGCGCTTGTCCGCGCTGCATCCTGGTAACCACACCACCCTTTGAGCACAAGGGTCTGGTCCATGCCTAAAAGTCTCGAGTCCTGATGATCCAACAAACACATCGTCCTTGCTCTACATGTAGCTGCATGCAACGAAGCCTACACTACACTTGGGACTCACTCGTTTCACGATCAACTCAAGCGCTGTTTTGGCGGTGTTTTGGTGTGCACCCCAGCGAAGAGGGAAGAGAGGGCTTCTGAGCTTCTGAGGAGTTCGACGCGCTGTCCCGCTGTCATCACGTCCCGCGCGGATGATGTCATCCCGCCGCTGACCTCGCCGAATCGTTATCTCGCCGCGTTTTTTCTCCGCCTCCGCCTTCCGCCATAATCACCCCGCCTGCTCCGCCGCCCCCAACCAACACACCACGAGCCCTTCTCCACCCTTTTGTCTATCGCGGCTTGTCATGTGCCTTCACGGGATTAAGGATGACTTTGCTGCCTCCCCGCCGTGGAACCTTTGCAAGCTCTCGCCAAGAAAGTGCCCCCCAATATGGAAGTGCATGCTGTGGAGCCCTCTTGAAATCCTCCTGGTGAGCGAACTTACATGTAGTTTTTTGCTGGCCTGACGCTCAACAATGCCGCCGCTGCTGTGTGTTTGCCACTACCCTGCTGTGCTATACGCGGCAGCAGTGTGTTTGGAGGCTGGCTGGGCGTGCATGCTCGCCTTGGGTGTACTTCTGTAAGCACTGCCATCATCGTGCTCTCTCTCTTGCCCATCGTGTCATGAATGTCTCCGCACGATGGATGACGACAGGTATCGACGACGATCGCTCTGGGCTTCGCAGCAGCGGCGGCCTTACCAACGAGACTTGACATACCCGTTCCTGGAAGCATGGCTGCGTTGACACAAGGTTTGTTCTGCGGTATCGATTTTCCATGCAAGGTTTGTTCTGTGGTACGTGAACAGCTCCGGTTTTTCGCCGTGCACTGCCGGTTGCTGTTGTTCGCCATCATCCCCGCGTGTACCGTCGCCGACAGCAGTAAATTCGCTCCTGATACTTGTAGCAGGAAGGAAGCGCCGTTGTAGTTGTCGGTTGGCGAGCCCTACATTTGAGTTTGGGTGCTGCAATGATCACGTACAGTGATCCCGGCGACTGCGGCAATGGGCAATGGTGTTCACGCAGAGCACTATTGTACATGCCATGTGCTAGATACCGATTGGATACCGAACCGGCACAACAGATCACCTGCCCAATCAGCGTAAACAACGCTCTAAACGGGTCTCCGTTCGGTCGAAGAGAGCATGGACCGGAGTTCGCTCCTGCCAAAACTGGCGCAGCATATGCTGCTTTCATATCCGATGCTCTGCAATCAACCGTGCTGCAGTCACCCGCCCGCGTGCAAAGGATCTGCAAGTAGAGATGCATGCATCCTTTCTCTCTCTCTCTCTCTCTCTCTCTCTCTCTCGCCCTTGCTCTCTCGTTTTCTTAGGCCTGGCGGTGGAAGCCGCCGCAACCCCTTGTAGTACAATACAGTCCAGTTGGTTTAACAGGTTTGCTTGGACTTGCATGACGCTGTGCGCAGCGCGATACCAAAGCGGCCAAGCTAACGTATACCACATACTTGTATCATGCGGTGCTCCTTGCGTGCCCAGGTGTGCTGACCCTACTCCACGTCCTGGTAGAAGGCCCGAGGTAAGTACTGTAGAGCGTCGGGTTGGTGTTGACTCACAACTGCTGTGCACGATTTGTTGTTGCGGTGCAGAATATCCACCATCCCGGTCACCGTTTTTGAGGGCTTTGATGGAGAAGAACGACTAACAGTAGCAGCAGCTGTGACATGTGTACCTCGGCAGTAACACTTCTGAGGTGGTTCACGTTTTTGATGGTTGTTCAGCGGTCAACACCGAATTGGCATCTGGAGCGAGCCGTCGGCACCTTATAATTACCCACAGCCGTATCAAATACGACCGTTGTGGGGCAATGAAGAGCCAATGGGCCACAAGCAATGGAGTGCTGCTGCAGGCCGATCATACGAAAAAAGCACTTTATACGAAAAGCATGGATGTTTAGCTGCGCAGCAACGACCATGCTGCGATGGTATCCGATACACAACAACCGAAAACTCTGATCTCTTCTACCCGGAGAGCTCCCGACGCTTGCCTGAAAGTCTGCCGCATCATTCAATAGGGTATGGGAATAGGCAATAAGCATCGCCGCCGCAGTGTATTCCGTCGACCCGGTCTACTATGAGATACTGATCTTGGCTCGTTGGCGACTATTGAACCTTCCTCGATTCCAGGCTGCAGGTCCTTCCTGTCTACCTACCGACGGTGCTTCTTGCCGTTGGCGCTGCGACCGGAGGGTTCGGCGACTCGGCGGGTCTGCTGGCGGCGATGGGGGTCGCCACCCTGGGGCTAGCGTCATGTTCGCTTCTCCTGTGAGTACCGCAGTTCCTCGCACTCAACTGCTGTTTTCCAAAGTTTCCCGACCTACCCTCGTGTACTTATGCGAAACGCCCCTTGTCCGAATACTTAACCCGTACGTGACTGGGTTAATTTGATTTTTTTTTTTTTTCCCACAACTGGCTCTCTGCGGTCAAAGATCTTCCAAGCATGCGTGTACACCCGTAAATCACGGCGGCAAGGATGGTGCAGCAGTGGGTCCATGTGTGGGGCTCACAGGGATGGGGACGCGGTATATGTAAGGGTGACGAACAGGAGTACAGTAGTACTACTGTTGTACAGCAGTAGCAGCTATGCGGAGAGAAATAGACTGCTGTACAGCAGCAGTAGTTTCTGAGCAGGTGTGCATGTCCGTCTCCGACAGCAACCATCCGCACAGAGGATGTACCTGTGCAAGCAATACCTGTTGGCACATCTTCTCCACCTCATCCTTGGACAGAGCATACGGCAAGCGCAAATGCTAGCGGCGCTAGATGCGAAGACGCTGACGGGAAACCGCCTCACAGAAGCGCCAGATCGACAAAAAAACGGCCCGCTCATCAGAGAATCGAGACCATCATCCACTATCGCACAAATTGCATAAAAATCGTGATAAATTTAACTATTCTGTACTACAAATAGAGAGCTGTGATCGGAGCTGTAGTCCCGAAAACCTTTGCCTTTGAGCGAAATTTTGCATACAGCAGACGAACCACCCTTCACTCCCAATATTGGGAACCACACGCACCGCAATCACAACAACATCAAGCACCGAGGCAGTACGTTAGCATCGGCTCCGGTGTGCGCTTTCTCTGCTCTCCCACGCGGATGCGGCACCGGTTTGATCACATGTTCAGGGTGCTGTATGTACCCTCCAGTGGTGGTATTTTGCGTTTGAATCTTGGACAGCCGGTAGGCAGTAGATTGGATCTGGAAAGGATATCTGCCCCACGTCAGAGAGATTAGGCATGGGTGAATAGTATTGTACTATGTGAGTCCTGTGCGCATTGCTGATAAGCGTGCTTTTGGGGTGGGCTGCCTGTGTCTTCCTGCTGGTCTCTATGTATGTTTTTTGCTCTTAGCCGAGGCACAACGGCGATCTTTCGGCACGCAAAGTGATCGGAGCTGAGAACGGAGCTGAATCGGCCTTGTAGTCACATAAGGGTTAACGCGCGGTACCCCGATAGCTTGACAGGAAGAGAGACATCAGCATCTTGTGTTGTCGAGGGTTTTCTGAAGACACATGTTTTAGTATTGGTTCTCCTACCCGTACCGTAGAGCAACCGAGTGTGGAAAGCCAGTCCAGGAAGGTATGATGTGGTTGGATCGTGTACAGTAGGTATGATGCATCATACAAGAGAACCGTGGTGCGATCCTCAACACGTTGAGCAGTTTTTGCACGCCCTCCCTCACGCCACGGACGAATCTCCTCTGTATTTTTCTGACACGGTTTGTTGACAGCACGAGTGACAGCCAGGCTCGCCACTGACTGTAGCCCTGCTCACTATCGACCATCACGCACAGGTGCTACCATTTGCCTCGGGTACTACCTGTTGGCGGGCGCGGGCCTTACGCTGTGGGGATTGCGACTGAGCACATCCGCACACCTGTAGCCGCCGCCGGGGACAACGCCAAGTCTTCTCCGAGCGAAGAGGAGCTGTGGCCTCTGGAGCTCATGGCTCAGGTAATTTACCCTCTCATGAAAAGCATGCTGGCGCTGCTGTTTGGCTTGGTTTGCAAAGAAAGCCGCTGTCAGCTCTCGTTCGAAACATACAATGATCCACGCTCTATTCCACGCGCCAAATTTTGCGCCATATTCTGCTACCACTGCTGTTGTGGGGTTGACGTGCCTGATACTATTCACTTTTTAGCGACCATGCGACCGGTCCGGCCCAGGTGTTCTATCCGGTGGAGAAATCTTGCGTGGCAAAGCTCCCCTGGTTCCCGTCCAGCATCAAGCGATTCCGTCGGTCGCTCTGTCCTGCCACAGGAGAGGCTAACCGATGGCCTTTCGGCCTGACTCAGGTATCTCCCCTTTTGACCCGACCTCTCAAGCGAACGCCTGGCATTCCGTGGGGAGACTTGCGAATTGCCGCGGTTGTCTCGCTTCGTCTTAACGCGGGTGCTGCTGTTGAGCCGGCTTGCCGTGTCTCGTTGGACAACTTTGCTACTGTGTAATGATGCGAGCTTCCCCGTACCAACAGGGGTGTACTCCGGTTAGAATCTGCCCAACGTATAGTGTAGCCCCTCCCCCTCCCCCCTCAGACCTACATTTCGTCACACACTCTCCTGCCCCCCTCTCGAAACGGACACAGATGGGCGTGATTGGGGCGAGCATAATTCTGGGGTTGGAGGGGTCCCTTCTGTCGGACAGCGCCCCTTCCCTGGGAGACCTGCTGCGGTCGGCGCCGTCGTGGTCGTCCCTCGCTGGTAGCGCACAGGCGTGGACGGTTTCGGCGGCGGCGGCTTTGTGCTTGGTATGCCTGGTGTCCGACTTGCGCACGGGGCTTTCTCGCTCGGCGTACCAGACCAGGTGCGCCGCGAAGCGCCCGAGGATAACATGCAATGCTGAGACAATTCCGTGGTACCTAGAGAGCTCTCCGGGACGAGTGCCACCACCTCTAGGTGTTCTTCACATGGCGTCGCTCGTGCAATGGTGTTTTCGAGAGCAGCTGCCGGCGTGGTGTGTTTCGCGCGTTCAACCGCAGGTGGCGTTTTGGTTGCTGCGGTTTACCCGAAACACAACGTAAGACCTGCTCGAAATGTTGATGCCGGTGCTGTACTGCTGGTGGTGGTCCCAGGTATCTCGACAGAGAGCAGGCCAGGTGCATCGCCAAGTTTTCCAAGATGCCGGGCTTTTTCACGGAACACCTATGCGGCTTCTACGGGCCCGGCTTCGAATCCGGTGAGCCCGTACAGCAGAAGGGTACTCACAGCCGTAGCGAGACCTGCCCCGGGCCGCGAATCGATCCGTTTAGGAGGACATGGTTGGATTTCCGACAAAGAGCTAGGACACGAACCGCACGCTCTCGGTTATTGCTGAGCACTTCATCAAACTTAGGGAGTACGCACCGCAACAGACGCACGGGATTTTTCTACAGCCAGTTGTATCGCTTGGTCGGAAGAATTTTTCTTCCGGGTACAGCGTGAAGTAAGCATCAGACGTGTGCGCCCGTCGGGTTCGTGACTTTTGAGCTACGTGATAAATAGCGTAAACGGGATGACTCGATGTCAACTGTCCTTGACCTTGTGTGAGAGGTACGCTTCCACTTTATGGCACTGACACTCGATACGCCATGCGGCGTGATCGACTTGGTTCGGTGGTTGTTCGAAAGTCCACCATTATCTCTGCGTGAATCTACGTTTTCTCTTGTCTTCTGTCGCCCCTCGTGCTTAACTTCTCCCCTTTGGCACTGCTACTAGGACACTTTCACGCCCCAGGCGTGCCGTGCTTTCCGGCAGCCCCGGTCGCCCGGGGTGAGGCCAAGCGGCCGATGGTGATCTTTTCGCACGGGCTCGGCGGGAACCGCTCCATGTACGCCGAACACGGCGCAGCGTATGCCGCCCAAGTGAGTGGCGAGGATTGGGCTGGTGCAGCGCTACTTTGAGAGAGAGAGAGAGAGAGAGAGAGAGAGAGAGAGAGGGAGAGGGAGGGAGGGAGAGAGAGCTGACTCTCGTAGACAACAGCAGCTGTTGAGCACGCGTGGGCTTGTTCTGCGCACGTGTGTCGCAGCTGTTTTACGTATCTCGTCTAGTCTGCTGCCCTGCTTGGCGATGGTTTTGGCGCAGACGACAGGCCGTAGCGGGTGCATCTACCGTCCGAAGCGGGAGGTCGAGCATGACACCCCCGCTCCTGTAACATTGTCAGATGCATGCATATGTCAGTGGTTGGTGTGGTTCCCTCTTTTCGTGATCCGTGTTTTTTCTATCTTAGGACAAATTACCCACTTGTCCAACTCGCATTTCTCCATCTATTTTTCTATACCTCTCTTCTCTGTAGTCTGTCTCTCTGTCTGTCTCCTTCTCTATCTCTATCTCACTCTCTCTTTCTGCTTCTCTTCCTCTCTTGCTTTTTTTGTCGCCCGCCACCTGGTCTACACGCGACTCATCGACTCATCTTTTTTAACATCCCGTTTTCTACACTACCGTCGACGGTTGCCAAACCCCCCAAACGAAGGGATACGTGGCTATTTTCCTCGAGCACAACGACGGCTCGGGCTCCAGCTGCATGTTCCCCGACGGGCGAATCACGACATACGCCAAAGCCCCGAACTTGAAGGACGTGGGCGCCCCGGACAACCACGCCTTCCGGTAACTCTGGTTTCCTCTCGTCTCACACGATCTGCGCGTGTCCTTCTGCTCGTTTCACCTTTTCTTGTTCGCGGGAAGGCATGGCTGGCATGATCCTCTTTCCTCTCTGAAGGTTATTTTCGGCGAACATGCCGTAGTCAGGAGGGATCCGTTGAGGTCACCTAGGGCCTGGGAAGTTGGGCTATGGTTGGCTCGAACCCCACAGGTCAAGCGCCCCTGTTGCCGTTTTTTCGAAGCCTCTACCAAGGAGTCTAAGCGCCCTCTCTCATGTTTGACCGGTTGAATCGGTCCTGCTCCAGGAGAAGGCGAAAAGGAACAAGCCTAGGAGGCTCCTCTCCCTTTCTTTCTCCATCACGAGTACGATCAACGATGCCGCTACGTCTTGAATTTTAACGGCTATACATGTCGAACGGCGCCATACGAGTGGCACGCTGCTCACCGACCCCTTGCGGACAAGAAGGTAACCCCTTTCCCCTTCCACCCTCCCTCTGCACACCCCACTATTTGTAGGCTGGCGCAATTGAGGCGCAGAGGAAGGGAAATTGGGCTCACGAGGGCTCACCTGGCAAGGCTCGCCCGCGGCTCTGCAACAGACTTGGAGACCTGTCGACTTGTCGGGTTAGGGGATGTCATCGACACCAAGGTCCGGTTGTCGGGCGGCGTTGCTCGATTTCGCTTTGACTCGGTGCATTGGGTTATGCGTGTGTACACCCCGTTATTTTCCAATTGAAAACGACGCGGTTTTGTTATGCTCGAGCTTGGGTTTTGAGGTAGCTGGGGTTTGGGTTTCTGGATTGTCTCGTGTTTTGGGAGGCAATGGAGGTGTCATCGTTTGCGCGCTCACAAAGTAGCGTATATGGGACATGTGTTCCCAAAGGTGACGTTTTTGCCTGGACACAGGCCGACTTATGGGTTGCCGGCGCCACAAACAAGGGGGCTTGCCTGTAGCCGCTGCGCCTGCCAGCTCACCGGTGACTAGACAGCATTGGAGACATTATTTCTACGCTATCGGCAACCTTCCAACAGTTCTCACATGCTAGCATGGAGAGATATCACCTCAAAGTCACCGACCTTGACCCCCACCCCCGCCTCGCTGCCACCCGCGTGTCCACAACTTTTCTCGCCAGCGGCCGGCCTTCGTAGGGCACTCGTTCGGAGGGGGCACGGTTCTGCAGGTGCTGAGCGACGAGCGTGAGCGTGGCTCGAGAGGTGGCGCGGGGATGGACCCCGAGGAGACCGGGTACTCGATGGCCTTCATCATGGACGGTTGGACGTTCCCCTGCAGCGAAGAAGCGCGCGCCCAGAGCGTCGACATTCCGGTGCGTGGTTGTGGTGGTGGCGGAGGAGGCGTGGGAAGGGAGGCTCACGCGACGCCTGTTATGGAGGCGTTTTCGTGTGTCCATGGTGTGGTGTACTCAAACGGTGGTGGTGGCTGCGTTTTTGTTGGCAGCTACAACAACGCTAGACGGCTTTCGTTGGACTCATTTAGATCCTATCCATACATGAAGGTGCGCCGGTTGCTAGCGTTTCTCATTCGTTCGCTCCCATTCGGAAGAGTTAGAAGTAATTTCGGAATAGATAGGGATATCCCCTTTTTTTCTCCCCACGGACGCGTCATCTCATCGAGTCAGCCCACAACATTGTGTATGATCAATGACGCCTTCCGATTGTCCATGGTAAACCCGACAGCACTTCTGCAGTTCCCTTAAGAAATGCTGACGTTCCAGAAAGAACGCGAGCGCACCAACCATATGTCGAAGGCTCGGGTACGTGGGCAAACACAACTGGACACTGCTGCTACGTGCTGTCGTTGTGTCCGCGTGTTGTTATCATCCGTTCAACGCGTGTTCTTTTGTGGCGCTCCTTTCCTGCCCGCTCTACGCAGTTGGTTGTCATCACCAGTGACGGCTTTCTTGGGGCCGAGGGTAAGAAGAACGAGGAACGCCTCGTCGACAACGCCGTCCGCATGGTTCGCGATGGCGCCAACGACCTCGCCATCCAGCTCCGAGTCAAAGACGCCGGTGAGGCTCGAGGGGGACTTTGTATTTTCGTCTTGTATGGTTTTTTATGTGTGTTGTATGTTTGTCTTGTTTTTGTGTGTGTGTATGCTTTTTTTTTTGCACTTTGTGAAGTATAATTTGTGTGTGTTGTTTTGCAAGCATATGTCTTGTACGAAGTTGTGTGTGTGTTTTCGTGTTGTTCGTGACATGTGCCTGCCGGATGATGGGGGTATGCCACAACGATCGTTGAGCGATGATCGGAGTAGTTCAAGAGCGGCCCGGTGCTCGTCTGCCCTCGCGTGCGACAGTACCAGCCCTAGGTGTCGCTTCCAGACATGTTTGCGGTAGGCAACCGCCGAACGAAAACTTGTTTGTGTCTAGCAGATATGCGATTCATCGTGCAGATCAGTCGTATAAGCTCGAAAACCAGCCCCTACTTGCTGCTGCTGTCACCCCCCCCCCCCCCCCCCACCCCCCCCCCCTCTTGCTTGTTTTCCCCTTTTCCCCCGTTGGTGTTTGCCGTTGGGCCCGCCCCCGTGAGAACCCGGGGTGGTCCCTCCCGGGTTTTTTGGGGTGCCGGGTCCCTGGGCCAAACACTTCGGGATGGACGAATATTAATAAACCCCCCCCCCCCCCCCAAAAAACCCCACTTTTTTGTTTTTTTTCCCTTT